ATTAAAAGAAAGCTGTGATTATTCCCCACAGATTTTATGGTGCAGGAGCTTTGTCAGTGGGTGCTTTTGAGCAGGAAGTCTTGGCTGACTCCCGTGTGAGTGTGCCAGTGGGTCGCAGCCTACATCGGGCAGGGGTCTAATAGTTTTTGACAGATGTACGGCATGTGACTGTATAACTGGAATTCCTTTATGAGCGACGGATGATAGAGACTCTGTGTTGTAGTGGTGCTCAGACTGTGGCTGGTGGGCGTCTGACGTGACCTGACTTCGGTCCAAGCACTGCGCTCTCTGCCCAGCCTCAAAGTGAGCCAGGCAATCCAGTGTTAGACAAACACATGTACTGCTACTGCTGTCGGTGTTGTACTACTCCTGCTACAGTAGATACACTGTATCCAGGCCAGTATTGGGAGAAAAGGTTCCCAATAAGTAATCCCCATGTTTTTGTGGGCTATAACAATCATTGTGCTGCAGCCACAAACATCTTTCTTGTTCATGTACAAGCTCTTATTTTTAAGTTGTAGTAGTAGTTTTATTATTTATTTAAAACAGAGTATTTTAAGCATGTAGTGGCTTGTTGGCTGATTTCTTCCCGAGATGACCTGAGGTGCTCTGCTTTTGCTAGTGCAATCAAGTGGAAATTTTAGGGAGAAGCAATTAAATGTGAGGTAGAAGTCACGCAGTCAGAGCTGAGTGGTGTGGAGATACAGAAATGATTTTACTGCTACAATATAACCTGCATTATTCACATTGCATTAATAATATATCCTACAGCACTGATATTGCATTAAAGATGTTTATTAAAGCTATTGCCACCATATTAACCTTTTTATTACATATATATTTATTTTATACACATTGCATGTTTGTGCTCATTCAGAGTTGATGCTCAGTCTATTAAAGAAGGTTCTAAGCTTTGTGAAGACATGGCGCTTCACAATCTATTGTGTAGGTGACTTGGAGCACAGGAGGATTGCGTACACGCTTACAAACACACATAATCCTGCCAGGCCAAAGGCCCGAAATTCATTTAGCTTCTAACTGCATTTCAGTTTGCTTGGTAACAGATGACAGAAGACCAGTCAAGAAAGGACAAGCCCTCAGGCACCATCTAGGCTTGAAATTTATTGCCATGTATGGCAGGTGTTCTAGAAAGAGGAACTTCGGTGTCTGTTTTTTGCCATCTCACATGTACCATTTACTGTAATCGATGTATTTGACCTGTAATCAACGCGAGAAGGGGCGTTAACCCCGATGTTATAAAAGCATTTTCAAGTGTATTCATAGGAGGAGACGTTTGCTGATGTGATGCTGCAGACTTCTTCTCCTGCGTTCATTCAAACTCATTGTTTGATTGCACTCTTCTGGGCCTCTGTTGGTTTGTTTCATTGCTCAACATTTATTGAGTTTGGGACAGTGGGCTGCTGTAAAAAGCTAAATTACCGATATAAACAAACAGTAGCAGGAACTAAATGAGCACCCAGCTGAGAATAAAGGACATGCTCATCCACCTGTACCCCCCTCTTTCTGTTTTTCTGTTTTCTGCCTCCGTCCGTGCAGCACAGAGGA